CTATGTGTGCTAGCTAACAGCACTTGCCCCAGCAGTCTGTTACAGGCTACACGGGGAGAAGTGGGGCTGAACGATTAATCGATTTCAAATCGATTAATCTCAATTTGAAACAATGCGATTACTAAATCGCAAAGGCTACTTATTGGAATTGTTTTATTTTTAATTATTATAACTTTATTTAACTTGGCAATTGTTCTATGTTTGATTGTTCTATTTAATTTAAAACATTTAAATAAATACACGTTGGTAGCAATTCATATATTTTAAGTTCTCATCCTTGCATTACAATATATAGAGCAGTTCATATTTTGATGGTACCATGTGGTAATGCTCCTTCGCATGTTTTAAATCGATTACACAATGAATATTGCACTGAAGCTTGACCTCGAAAAATGTAATCGCAAATCAAATCGTAATATCTGTCAGAAAAATCGCAGTTACATTTTTTTCTCCCCAAATCGTTGAGCCCCAGTAAGAAGCGGTGGTGTGTAGTGGTTAGCGCTACAAACCCGGCCACCCGAGTTCGATTCCCGCTCACGGCCAACATCCGTGACGATTATCTGAACCGATCCTGGGCCTCCCCTAGGTCGACTCGGCCTCAAATGATTACCCGGTGCGGTGTGTAGTAAGCATCGCCACCGGGGAGACCAAGGCGGCCGGGCGTGGTGCTGGCCACCCACCGCCCTCGCGTGCCGTGCCGCACTTAATAGGCGCTCGCTAACAGCACTTGCCCCAATGGTCTGTTGAAAGGCTACACGGGGGACCTTTGTCTGCTTTGTTGCGGCAGAGCGAGACGGCGGCTCGCGGTCGGAATGTTGTTTTTAAATTCTTTATATTAAGTTCACTTGCTTGATTGCGCGCTTACGACCGTGCAAATCTTTCGGTCGTTTTTTAACCCACTTCCCGTGATCCAATCGAGCTGACATTTTGCACACAGACTCGTTGTGCGAGACAATTTATCTTCGTGAAATTTTTTTTCAAAAATTTTACTTTTTAGGTAAATTTTTTTAATTTTTAATTACCAATTGCTTAATGGTGGCAGGCAATCATCTGACCCATAGGTGGCAGCCATCTCAAGCCAGAGGACGAGAGGACTCTAGCCGTCCGTTTCAAAGACCAATGTGGGATGGGTTGTGGCCCATTGAACACGCATATAAAGGATTTGTAGTGAAAAACTTTGTTTTTACGGGTTAATTTTTTGCGATGTTCAGCTTCGAGGTCTTTGGTTTGGCCACGTTTCTTTGTAGTACGGAGTTAGAATGATGGCTTTAATCTAAGTTGTCTTGTGGTGGTTGTTGTTGTTGTTTGACTTGCATCCCACTGGGATTTTTGCACAGAGCGTTGGTGTACGGTGATTTTTTTCTGGAAGACTGCAGTTTTTTCCTGGATTTTTCTGTTTGCGCATAGTCGCTGTAAGATGTTTTCTTGTTCATGTTTTTTTTGTTGCGGTTGCACTCGATTCAAGAGCCGCATGGCTCACGGGGCTCTACCTCATAAATGAAACTGGAAGTCCATCGGTGTGTCTGTGTTGTGGAAGACACTTGCCACCACCGCCACCAACTCACCCGCTCTAGGAGAGTGTGGAGTTGCTATCTTAATTTGAAGCTTTCGTGATTGCAGGAATTACTCTTCGGTTATTTCGGTAAAGTCGCGTATAGAGATAAAATAATAAATAAAATAATAGCATACTACGACGTTTCGATTGCAACACAAGCAATCATCATCAGGTATAAAAGAAAGAAATAGCAACAAAAATCTAACCAGAAAACTACAGACAGACATATAAGCAGACAGATATCATAAAGATACACAGAGAGAGAGCACGTATCGGCACAAAGAGAGAGGTCGTCTCTGTGACGGGGCCTTAAATAGAGAGAGGGGGGGGGGGCAGAGGAAAATTAGCATGTCAATGAGTAGGGCGATGTGTGGTACGGTACGCAAGCTTGAAAATTAGGAGAAAGGGAGAAAGACAGACTAAAATTAAATAACCTAGCAAATGATCGAGATGTAAAGTAATGCAACACAGAGAGTCGGTCAACACACAATTAACGCATAGCCTGGTCGATTACGTATTTCAAAGATTGCCAAGTTAGAATTTTAAGTGTGGAGTTGCTACCTGTGGCTCTTGCGGTGGGGAGCTGTGCACGCCGCGATGCTCGCGTGAGCGGAGACATCGCACCGCGTTGTGCCTTGTGGATGCTGTGCTCCGGTGTTTATAGTTTGGGACGCCAAAGTGGTTTTAAAAAAAAATTTGGACACCGGGGGGGGGTGTTTTAACAATAAATTGGCACACCGCTTGGTGTGATTCTTAAAAAATTTGGAATGCCACGTGGTGCTTTTTGTTTCTTATTTGGACCAGACTCTGATTGTGGACAAAGCCGGCGATGTCGTATTTGTGTTGTGACCAGTCGGAAGCACAACTTGCCCGAGCCGACTGCCGCTCCACATAATTGATTGAACATCGATTCACGTTTACAATGTTTTTTTATATTTCTCCATACAGCAAGTGCTCATTTCGTTGTTGTGCCGATTTCTATTCGCCTACGTTGCTGTGGCTCATTTCGTTTGTCATTTTTCGTGACCCACGGCTCACCCACCGGCTCTCTCGTGCCAACAAGACTCACCCTGGCCATCTCGTGCTCTTGATGCCCCCCCCCCGCCCGCCCGCCCCAGCTGCGCGTGGTGTCCACGCTGGTGTTGGACGGTACCTCTCCATGCGCCCTCCTGGCCTCGTCCCCGTGGATCTGCTGGCTCGGCTGCAACGCGTCCTGGAACCAGTCGTACCACTGCGCCGTCGACGGGGGCGGAGGAGGAGGCCACCGCGCTACCGGGGGCGGCTGGCACGTGGCCCGGGCCACCTTCGAGGTTGACGTGGCCACGAGCGGTTGGGCCGCTCTGTGGTGAGGCCCAGAGGTCGCAAACGGGTTTTGATTCCTTACCCGGCCGCACCAGGGTCGCAATCGGGTACCCGATACCCGGCTACCCGTACCCGGCCGGGTATAGGGTACGGGTATCGGGTACCCGATTGCGACCTCTGGGATGAAGCCATGTTGCGGGCGCGGGTGGGTTGATTCTAGGAACTTGAATTGTGAGAAGAGACAAGACGTTGGGAAATGAGTGACAAACGGTGACTCGCCAGTGACTCACGGCCTACCCGTACCCGGCCGCACCAGGGTCGCAAACGGGTACCCGTACCTGGCCAGGTACAGGTAGCCGGGTATCGGGTAGGGTACGGGTATCGGGTACCCGGTTGCGACTTCTGGTGAGGCCCCGCTGGGGGCGCTGGTGGGAGGGGGTTCACGACCCCGGCGAGTGTGTGTACGTGTGTGTACGTGTGTGCGTGTGCGTGTGTGTCGTGGAGCGGTTGGCGCTGCGTTACGAACCCGGCGTCCTGAGTTGGATTCCCGCTCGCGGCCAACACCGGTGGCGATTTATCTGGAACCGGTCATAGACCTCCCCTAGGTCGACTCGGCCTCAAATGAGAACCTGGGTGCGGTGTGTAAACCTCGCCACTGGGGAGACAAAGGCGGCCGGGCGTGGTGCTGGCCACCTACCCCCTCGTGTGCCGTTTCGGCTTTCATAGGTGCTCGCTAACAGCACTTGCCCCTACAGTCTGTTCAGGCTACACGGGGTATCTTTATCTGTGTGTGCTAGCTAACAGCTCTTGCCCCAGCAGTCTATTAGAGGCTACACGGGGATCTTTATCTGTGTGCTAGCTAACGGCACTTGCCCCAGCAGTCTATTAGAGGCTACATGGGGGATCTTTATCTGTTTGCTAGCTAACACCTCTTGCCCCAGCAGTCTATTCGAGGCTACACGGGGGATCTTTATCTGTTTGCTAGCTAACACCTCTTGCCCCAGCCGTCTGTTACAGGCTACATGGGGGATCTTTATCTGTGTGTGCTGGCTAACAGCACTTGCCCCAGCAGTCTTTTAGAGGCTACATGGGGGATCTTTATCTGTTTGCTAGCTAACAGCTCTTGCCCCAGCAGTCTATTAGAGGCTACACGGGGGATCTTAATCTGTGTGCTAGCTAACAGCACTTGCCCCTACAGTCTGTTCAGGCTACACGGGGGATCTTTGTCTTTGTGTGCTAGCTAACAGCACTTGCCCCTACAGTCTGTTCAGGCTACACGGGGGATCTTTATCTGTGTGTGCTAGCTAACAGCACTTGCCCCTACAGTCTGTTCAGGCTACACGGGGGATCTTTGTCTTTGTGTGCTAGCTAACAGCACTTGCCCCTACAGTCTGTTACAGGCTACACGGGGGATCTTTATCTGTGTGTGCTAGCTAACAGCACTTGCCCCTACAGTCTGTTCAGGCTACACGGGGGATCTTTATCTGTGTGCTAGCTAACAGCACTTGCCCCTACAGTCTGTTCAGGCTACACGGGGGATCTTTATCTGTGTGCTAGCTAACAGCACTTGCCCCTACAGTCTGTTCAGGCTACACGGGGGATCTTTATCTGTGTGTGCTAGCTAACAGCACTTGCCCCTACAGTCTGTTCAGGCTACACGGGGGATCTTTATCTGTGTGTGCTAGCTAACAGCACTTGCCCCTACAGTCTGTTCAGGCTACGCGGGGGATCTTTATCTGTGTGCTAGCTAACAGCACTTGCCCCTACAGTCTGTTCAGGCTACACGGGGTATCTTTATCTGTGTGTGCTAGCTAACAGCTCTTGCCCCAGCAGTCTATTCGAGGCTACAAAGGGGATCTTTATCTGTGTGTGCTAGCTAACAACAGCATTTGCCCCAGCCGTCTGTTACAGACTACACGGGGAACTTTATCTGTGTGTGCTAGTTAACAGCACTTGCCCCTACAGTCTGTTCAGGCTATACGGGGGGGATCTTTGTCTTTGTACGTATGTTGTGAACTTCTTTTGCACGTGACCCACCCCCCTCCCATCTCTCTTTGTCGCTCGATTTCAGGAACCTTGGATGCTGCTGGGCGGAGGATGCGCTGATGCTGCAGGCCAACGGGACTCTGTCGTACGGGGCGGCGGGCGACGCTGTGAGCTGGATGAATCCGGCGTTCGTGAGCCTGGACGTGCGCGGAGACACGGGGAGGCCCAATGCCTCTCCCCGCGCCGCAGTCATCCCGCTCGTTCGGTCGGTCTGAGTCTTTAAACAAGTAAACCCGTAAAAACAAAGTTTTTCACTATAAATCCTTTATATGCGTGGCATCGGGGCGGCCAGAGTCCTCTCGTCCTCTGGCTTGAGATGGCTGCCACCTATGGGTCAGATGATTGTCTGGCAGCATTAAACAATTGGTAATTAAATATTTTAAAAAATTTCCCTAAACAGTATAAAATTTTGGAAATTTTTTTTTCACGAAAATGCATTGTCACGCACAACGAGTCTGTGTGCAAAATGTCAGCTCGATTGGATCACGGGAAGTGGGTTAAAAAACGACCGAAAGATTTGCACGGTCCTAAGCAAGCAAGCGAACTTAATATAAAGGATTAAAAAATAAAAATCCTCATCATCATCGTCCACCTCGTCGTCGTAGTCACACCTCATCCGCGCATCTAAACTGAATGTTTTATTTCACCGGGTAAGGCGCGTAGTTTTTTTCGGAAGTGACCTGGCCACGCTTGATGATGGCTCGACATCGTGGCTTGTCGTCATTGCGTGGAAACGTATCGCGACGGTGATGTACCGTTGGTTCTAAATGTGGGAGGGGAAAGTCCGGAACACCCGGAGGGAAAATACCACGTGACCACAGAGAGGGACGCAAACTCCAAATAGACAGCAGCAGGCGTCGGGGTCGGGATCGATCCCACGACCTCCTGTATACCAGGCGAGGTAGTCGACATCTCCTAGCCACCGTGATGATGATGAGAGAGAGACACGCAAACTCCAAATATACAGCAGCAGGCGTCAGGGTCGGGATCGAACCCACGACCTCCTGTACACCAACACAAGCAATCGTCATCAGGTGTGAAAACCACTGCAAGACAATTTTCTTGCGGTGTTTTTCACACCTGAAACGTCGTGAGAATTAAATTATTTATGTTTTATTATTTTATTATTTCCCTTCTACGTGACTTTACCGAAAGAACCAAGAATCAGAATATTTGTAATATTACTATAAATGTATTTCTCTTTTTTTCACCCCCAGGCTGAACAACCGCTGCAACGCGACGCTGCGCGTGCGAGTCATGGACCCCGACGGAGACCACGTTCGCTGCTCCTTCGGGGACCCCTTTGGAGTCCCCCACGGGGGGGTCCCCCCACGAGGGGGTCCCCCATGGGGTCTCGGAGGGCTCCATCGAGAACGCCGTCATGGACTCTGTACGCAGATCCCAGCTCGCTCGCTCGACTCCGATTCTCCGCTGGCATTTTTAGACAATTTTTCTCTGGTCCGTGGGCGAATTTTTTTTTTTTTTTTTTTTAAAGTCTCGATGCGTTTTTGGTGTCGCGAGCTCGTATGCACGTTGAACTTCTTCCGCACCGTACGTAGCTACTAACCATGCTCATCGGAGATGGCGGGGGGGGGGAGGCGGACAACAAACTAAACGCAACAAAAATTCGTTCCGAAGAAATGAGTTTGCCACTCTCTTAAACGACGAGTTTAAAAGTGCATCAAAGCTCCCGGTGGCTTTCCTAATATCGGGAGGGAGAAGCGTTCCAGACGGCCGCAGAAGTGCGCGCCTGAAAGCGCCGGGGCGGTGCGGCGACCGCCGTCTTTGTTTTGATGCTTGCGTCAAAAGCCGCCGCCGCTGCTGCTGCTGCGAGGATGACCGGCGATCACGTGGTGGTGGTTGTGGTGGTTTGTGTCGGTAGCTTTTGCTGCCTGCTGTGACGTGAGGCTCTGGGTGGCGTGGCGGGCGGTGGGTGGGGGGGGCGGAAACGCGGCCGTCGACGAAAAGACACGGAACGAAAACCGAAAAAGCGCGCGGGGAGAGACAAGTGGGACGGGGGGGGGGGGCGGAGAGCGATTTTTGTCCGGCGTTTGGACTCTGGTCACGTGCGTCTCCCCCGCCGTGTTTCCAGGACGCGTGCGAGATCCGAGTCGGCCCCCCGGTGCTGTACCCCGCGGGACGCTTTGCCGTCGTGATGACCGTCTCGGACTTCTCGTCGCCGGGGGGAGCCCCACTGTCGCTCGTGCCGCTGCAGTTCCTGCTGGAATGTGAGGGGCCCCCCACTCGGACTGACGCTGGGGGGCCGGGGGGCTGGGACGTGGGGGGGGGGGGGACGGCTGGGATGCTCTATTTAGGATTAATCAATCTGGTTTTAGGCTTCAGAGGGTTTGGGATTCTGGGTTGAAAGTCGGGGATCAGAATTTCAGGTGCCTTCCCCCACCCCCGTAATGTAGGTTTTTTTTCAGAAGCGACCTGGTCACAGATGATAGCTCAACGAAGCGGCTTCTCATCATCACGTGGATATTGATGGCAGCAGCCCAAATACTCTAAATGTGGAGGGGCGAAAGCCGAAGGGCCCAGGAGAGAAATCCACGCGACCCACGGGGCTGGGTGGGGGGGGTGGGGCTGGGTGGGGGGGTGGGGCTGGGTGGGGGGGTGGGGCTGGGTGGGGGGGTGGGGCTGGGTGGGGGGGTGGGGCTGGGTGGGGGGGTGGGGCTGGGTGGGGGGGTGGGGCTGGGTGGGGCTGGGTGGGGAGGGTGGAGCTGGGTGGGGAGGGTGGAGCTGGGTGGGGAGGGTGGAGCTGGGTGGGGGGTGGGGAGGGTGGAGCTGGGTGGGGGGGTGGGGAGGGTGGAGCTGGGTGGGGGGTGGGGAGGGTGGGGAGGGTGGAGCTGGGTGGGGGGTGGGGAGGGTGGGGAGGGTGAAGCTGGGTGGGGGGTGGGGAGGGTGGGGAGGGTGAAGCTGGGTGGGGGGTGGGGAGGGTGGGGAGGGTGGAGCTGGGAGGGGTGGGGCTGGGAGGGGAGGGGCTGGTCACCCCATGGTGCCCTTATAAAACTCAACGTTTAACCTACTCACGCCGGCTTGTGCCCGCCCTCACAGTCGGGCATATTTGCGGAATCCACCACGCCGCCGTTGACCCTGCAGGCCATTGACCGAGCAACCCAACGTTCCTACCAGCTCCCTCCGCAGGACAATGTGTTGCGGTGTACCATTCCCGACCCTTGTTGCGTGCTCAGTCGTGGAGTCGTCCTTGCCGTGCTCGTCGGAGCCGACGTTCATCCCGGACTCCCCACCCCACGGCGCTGAGCTCTCCGCCACCATCGCCCGCGTCTTCACGATGGACATCCATCTCGCGGTGTCGGCGGGGTCACCCAGACGCAGGTGAGGCTGGCCCACCATCCCCCTTCCCTTAATTAGGATACGACAACAACGCAGAGTAAGTAAAATAAAAGCGTGTAAAATGTTTAAGAATGTATATTTTGGATGTTTTATGATCGAATGTAGTCTGGTCATCAGTATGACATGGCCATACCAAGTTTGCAGTCGATAGCACATTGGGAAGTGGGTTAAAATTGAGTTGCAAGATTTTTTTTGAGGATACAACAACAGACGGGTTGTTAATTGTTTTTTACCCTTTTATCTGGCAACAAAACTGACACCTTTTTTTACAAGGAATAATGTTTGCATAGACCACAATACCTGCGGTCATAATGCAAACAAAAACATAACTCTGATTAATGTATGCACTGTCCTTGAAGTTGACCGCAGGTATTGTGTTCTATGTAAACATGACTCCTTGTAAAAAAAGGTGTCAGTTTTGTTGCCAGATAGAAGGGTAAAAAAACCACTCATCATATTATTTACTGGCAAATGAGGTTCCAATGGTGAGACGGGGGTCGTGAGGTTAAATAAAAGCCGCGTCGTCGTCGTGACGATGACGACGACAAAAGCGAAGACAACGACGGTGAATGATGACGACGATGACGACGATGAAAGTGACGACGACGACAACGACGGTGAATGATGACGACGACAACTTATGTACGATGATGACGATGATGGCGATGATGATGACGACTTATGTACGATGATGACGATGATGGCGATGATGATGACGACTTGTGTATGATGATGATGACGATGACGATGATGATGACGACGACGATGACGATGATGACGATGATGATGACGACTGATGTACGATGATGACGACGATGCTCCAGCGTGCACGTGACCCTACTCACCGTGCTGAACGGCGTGCGGACGTCCGTCCCCACGAGCCACCCCTCCCGCCCGGGGGTTTTCATCTCCACCGTCACGTGGACCCCGCGACCCCGTGACCTGGGATCCAACTGGCTCTGCCTCTACGCCGAAGACTCGGAGGGGTGAGAGCGGTAGTCCCTCCAGATCGTTGCCCAGCCCCCCCCCCCTCGCTCACCCCCATGCGATGCGCCATCGGCTTCACGGGGCTCCAAAGTGGCGATGTTAACTACCTCGCCTGGTCTACGGGAGGTCTGTCTCTCTCTCATCATCATCACGGTGGCTAGGAGATGTTGACTACCTCGCCTGGTGTGCAGGAGGTCGTGGGTTCCATCCCGACCCTGACGCCTGCTGCTGTATATTTGGAGTTTGCGTGTCTCTCTCTCTCATCATCATCACGGTGGCTAGGAGATGTTAACTACCTCGCCTGGTGTACAGGAGGTCGTGGGTTCGATACCGACCCTAACGCCTGCTTTCTTTATATTTGGAGTGTGCGTGTCTCTCTCCATGGTCACGTGGATTTTTCTCTGGGTCCTCTGGTTTTTCTCTCTACATTTTATAAAAAAAATGTTTGCTACTGATGTACGTTTCCATGCGGTGATGGTGATGATGATGATGAGCCCACTTTGTTGACCTGGCATTTGTTGCCAAGTCGCTTCTGAACACGAGCTACATAGCACAATGGTGGTGGCCCTTTACCTGGTAAAATAAAAAATTAATAGTTTTTAGTTGAGACCTGCGCCAACATTACGTGACGACCACCCGCGTTTGACGTTGTCGTTGTTGTTTGTTGTTGTTGGTTGTTGTTGTTGTGTTGTTGATGGTGGGCAGGCGACAGTCGGAGGTGCGCTGCGTCGACGTGGTCGTGAAGGCGGCAGGTGAGAGAGCTCCGCTCCCCTTGGCGGAGTGGGCTTCGTGGCCACAATCGATCGACCCAGAGCTACAAACGCTCTGATACACGTGGCATCGTCCTTGTCCTGGTCGCCTTGTGGCGTTGTTCTCCGGTCTGACGCTGCTGGTGAGACTGGGCCAATGAGAAGCCCTGCTGCTGGCTTTGGTGTAGCCCAATCGGTCTCAAAAACGGTGCATCGCACATTAGTATCAGAGCCACATTTGTGTTTTGCATGTTCACCACAATCACTGTGTGTGGTTAATGCAGGAACTTGATTCCTTATAAAGGTTTCTATTTGGTGTTTGAACATCTTAACACCAACCCACCCTGTTTTATTGCAGAAAGGGTAAAACCTATAATTTTTTTCATTTCAATCTTTTCCCACTGCCACATGCAAGCCGTGTGGAGCGGTGGGTGTAGTGGTTAGAGCCGCGCTACGAACCCGGCGACCCGGGTTCGATTCCCGCTCACAGCCAATACCAGTGACGATCAATTATCTGAACCGGTCCTGGGCCTCCCCTAGGTCGACTTGGCCTCAAATTAGTTACCTGGTTCGGTGTGCAACCAACGTCGCCACTGGGAGAGACCGAGGCGGCCGGAGGTTGGTGCTGGCCACCCCACCCCCTCGTGGTGGCGGCCTTCGTAGCAGAGGTCGCAATCAGGTACCTGATACCCGTACCCTACCCGATACCCGGCTGGGTACGGGTAGCCGATTGCGATGCTGGTGCGGCCGGGTACGGGTAGGCCCGTGAGTCACTGGTGACTCACCGTTTGTCACTCATTTCCCAACGTCTTGTCTCTTCTCACAATTCAAGTTCCTAGAATCAACCCACCCGCGCCTGCAACATGGCTTCATCCCAGAGGTCGCAATCGGGTACTCGTACCCATACCCTACCCGATACCCGGCTGGGTACGGGTAGCCGGGTATCGGGTAGGGTACGAGTACGGGTACCTGATTGCGACCCTGGTGCGGCCGGGTACGGGTAAGGAATCAAACCCCGTTTGCGACCTCTGCTTCGTAGGCGCTCGGCGCTCGCTAACAGCACTTGCCCCAACGGGGGGCTGTTCCAGGCTACACGGCGGTGGCGGCGGTGGCTGGGGGTGATGTTCGTCTCCGGTGTGCTCAGGTGACCTGGACGTGGTGTGTGCCGGCGAGCGCATGTGCGTCACGATGCGCCGCGAGGCCCTGCAGGGCTACGGCGCCGCAGACCTGTCGCTGGCCCAGGCGGGGCCAGGCTGCGGCCTGCGGGACGAGGGCCTCTTCGTCACCTTCGACATCGGCCTCCTGTCCTGCGGCACGGCCTTCGAGGTGCGAGCGGCGATGTTTGCTGACGCTGGAGGAATCCGATGGGCCATAAAGCTCTTCTCGGTGGCGTCGTGCGTTTTTTTTTAAATCCTTTATATTAAGTTCGCTTGCTTGCTTAGGACCGTGCAAATCTTTCGGTCGTTTTTTAACCCACTTCCCGTGATCCAATCGAGCTGACATTTTCCACACAGACTCGTTGTGCCAGACAATTAATGTTCGTGAAAAAAATTCCCAAAATTTTACACTTTTTAGGCAAAAAGCGTAACCCCTCCACAGGCCGTGGCGGAGTAGCGCAGATGGTAGCGCCCTCGCTTCCCATGCCAAAGGTCGCGGGATCGATCCCCGCGTCCTCCACAGGCGAATATATATTTTTAAATCCGTTATTAAGTTCGCTGCCACGCATATAAAGGATTTATAGTGAAAAACTTTGTTTTTACGGGTTATACTTATTTCTTTTTCTGTAATCGGTTTTTTTTCTTTTTCAGTAAGCGTTTTTTCTTTTTCTGTAATCGTTTTCTTTTTCTGTAATCGTTTTTTTTCGGATTTGGGAGATCCTTCGGGTTGATCCAGCACGATTTGTGTCGTTAAATCGGCGGCCCTCCACCACCCGACCCACTGCTAAACAAATTGAGGCCGGGGTGGGTGGGGGGGGGCGTGCTAGGCCTGGGGTGCTGTGAGAAGAGAGGCAGTGGCTTGGGGTGGGGGGGGGGAGGAACATCGTCCAGCAGTGGATGGGCCATGGCTGATGGTGGTCGACCGTCGCACTCGTAACCCTAATGGGGGAGAGGGGACGAGTAAGTGTGTGTGTGTGCGCTCGCTAACAGCACTTGTCCCTACAGTCTGTGAAGGCTACACGGGGGATCTGATTGTAGTGCAGTGGTTAGCGCCACGCTGCGCTACTAATCTGACGTCCCCAATTGGATTCCCGCTCGCAGCCAACACCGTTGACGATTATCTGAACCGGTCATAGACCTCCCCTAGGTCGACTCGGCCTCAAATGAGTTCCTGGTGCTGTGTGTAAATATCGTCACTGGGGAGACAAAGGCGGCCGGGCGTGGTGCTGGCCACCCCGACTCGCTCGTGTGCCGTGCCGGCCTTCATAGGTGCTCGCTAACAGCACTTGCCCCTACAGTCTGTTAAGGCTTTACGGGTGGTCTTCGTCTTGTGGATGTGTGTGTGTGTGTGACTTGTGTAATGGGTATTGCGTGTGTGTGTAGGTGCCTAGGTGATCCCCCCCCCCCCCCCGTGTATTGTGTGATCACACGCCTGTGTGCGCGTGTGTGTGTTTATCTTCGCGTATTGTACTGGTGCTCGCTAACAACACTTTTCCCAACGGACTTTTTTATTTTGACGGTAACGATGAAGTCTTCTTGCCAAGCGTACTTGGCGCGCGGTTTTTGTAGCCTTGGGTGGAGGATTGACGCGGGCGGCTCTGTTGTGCGTGTGTGTGCGCGTTGTGCGACTTTCCCCGTCGCAGGAGGACTCTCAGCGGTTCATCTTCACCCAGCGCCTGCGACTCCAGCGGACCTCCGACTCGGTGATCACCTACCAGATACGCAAAGTCGACATCGTCCTCCAGTGAGTGGAATCTGAAAAATAAATCGTAAACACCGTCCCCTGTCCCCACCGCCACCTCCGCTCTCGCCCTGACCCCGATTTAAATTTTTACATTTTTTTGCCAGCGTCAAAAAATTTCTGAAAACTAAAAATAAGAATGGGTTGCCTTTTACCCTTTCTGGCAGTAAGACAGCAGTTGTGTTAAGATGTTCAAACAATACATTGTCCTGCGGAGGGAGCTGGTAGGAACGTTGGGTTGCTCGGTCAATGGCCTGCAGGGTCAACGGCGGCGTGGTGTATTCCACAAATATGCCCGACTGTGAGGGCGGGCACAAGGCGGCGTGAGTAGGTTAAACGTTGAGTTTTATAAGGGCACCACGGGGTGACCAGCCCCTCCCCACCCAGCCCCTCCCATTTTGCATGCACGACAGACGGATACAATAATCCCCTGTGGGCTATTCTTCTTTGGTTCTTTCGGTAAAGTCACGTATAAAGAAAAAATAATAAATTAAATAATAGCATACGACGTTTCGATTGCAACACAAGCAATCATCATCAGGCATAATGAAATGGCGACATAAAATCTAACCAGAAAAAAAATTATAGACAGACATATAAGCAGACAGATATCACCAAGATACACAGAGAGAGAGCAACACAGGTACAGAGAGGGGTGATCGTCTCTGTGGGGTGGCCTTAAATAGACAGAGGGGGGCGGAGGCAGCGAGAGGGAGGGGTAGAGACAAAATTTACATGTCAATGAGTACAACAAAAAGGAGTGAGCAGGCTTAGGGGGAGAAAGAGACACACTAAAATTAAATAACCTAGCAAAGTATCGAAATGTTATGTAAAACGACAGAGTCGGTCAACACACAATTAACGCACAGCCTGGTCGATTACGCTGGTGTAACCTGGAGGTTCCTACCAGTAATATCGTCATTGTAGTGCGTATTTAATGTGGCGCTGCATTCTGTTGTTGCCGGAGTGTTATAATAATTCTATATTTATTTAAAGTTGCGCATTTTGATGTGACGTCGCATTTCTCAACACCCCCCCCCCCCCTCGTCGGCACTCATCGTCACAAATGTCTGAACCCCCCCCCCCCCCCATGTGCGTGACGTCATTTATGGACGGCCCCTTATCTCTTAACACTCCCTCTCGCTCCCTCACCGGGAGCCCGCACCGCACACTGTCGGTGGTGTCTCTGCGCTGACCAGCGCTCACCCAAGCCCCGCTAGGGCTGGTAGTACGCCCAGTAAGCGGGCTGCACGTAATGACAACATAACATCCGCCGTGGCCTTGCAAGCCCGGCACCACACAGTGTCATTCGCAGTCACGACACACTTTTTTGATCATTTGGGGTGCCGTGTTGGCGAGATGTCAACTACCTCGCCTGGTGTGCAGGAGGTCGTGGGCTCAATCCTGACTCCGACGACTGCTGCTGCTGCTGTATATTTTGGAGTTTGCGTGGATTTTTCTCCCGATCCTCCAGTTTTTCTCCTCCACATTTTTAGAATCGATGTCACGCGTTTAGAGTTTTCCCGCTGCTGTACATTTCGCGCTACGATGAAGCCGTTTCGTCGAGCGATCCTTTGCGACAGCCAGGTCTCGCTTACTTAGCTCGGTGGGGTAAAATATCAGAGTAGTGAAATAGAATGGCGATAGAAGGCGGTACGAAACACGTGACCTCTCCCCGCTCCTCCTGTGTCTGCATGCGGCGGAGTGTTTTTAGTTTCCTTTAATCCGCGTGCTTCCACTTTCGTCTCGATTATCCGCGCGCGGTTCATCCGAGTTGCGGACTAACGTTGTGCCTGAGATTTTGACGTACGCTAAAAACTCGTGGATTTAGTAAAAAAAAATGTTTTCCATTACTTAATTTATCTAATATTAATAATAAGTATGCGGCCCTTGCCCCACCACCTTCTCCAACCATTATATAAACGCAGTGGTAACTTCTGCAATCTCTCATTTACTTGATGCAGCTGTCGTGGCTGTGACGGTTCCACCTGAAGACGGAAGCTTGTGTTGCCTCCGAAACGTCGTGATTTTTATTTTTATTTTATTTAACTTTTTAATGTTTTTACCTACGTGACTTTACCGAAGAAACCTAAGAATATTAATTTATCTTATTTCTAGCCTTAGACTGTTTGGGGCAAGTGCTGTTAGCGAGCAGCACCTACGAAGGCCGGCACGGTGGCACACGAGGGGGTGGTGGGTGGCCAGCACCACGCCCGGCCGCCTTTGTCTCCCCACCTAGCGACGTTTACGACACACACCGCAGCAGGTACTCGTTTTGATGCCGAGTCGACCTCGGGGAGGCCCAGGGCCAGCTCAAATAATCGTCACTGGGTGTTGACCGCACGGAAGTTTCCGTGACCAATATCATCCACAATAGTTTTTTTTGTGTTGGATCGCGTAAATATATAATGTGTCGTTAAACCTGCCACCACCCGACACAGCAAATCGGTAAGGGTTGTGTCACATAAACAGAACTGTTGCTAATTCGTCACTAGTACAGCACACCGATTGTGTGGAGAGCCAAGCCACACAATGTTTACAATCTGAGTGTACGACGTTTCACAACCGGCATCATCAGGCGGACAACAGCCAGATTTGTGATGAAGCCTTCCACCCGCTTAGTTCCTTAAAAAAATAATAAAGTTTTTTCTTTTCTTTTTTCTTCTCGATTCTTTCGGTAAAGTCCACGTAGAATGGAAATAATAAAATAATAAAAATAAAACATAATAAAATACAATTCTCACGACGTTTCGGCCACAACGCAAGCAGCCGTCCTCGGGTGGAGAGCAGGTCTGTAGAGTAGAGTGACTGACACACTCATTCATTCAGACTCTGTCTACTCGACAGACCTGTTCTCCACCTGAGGGATGGCTGCTTGCGTTGTGGCCGAAACGTCGTAAGAATTAATTTATTATGTTTTATTTTTATTATTTTATTATTTCCCTTCCACGTGACTTTACCGAAAGAACCAAGAAGATGAATCCCTGCAGTCACGAAAGCTTTAAATCGAAATTTAAGTTTTTCTACATTCGGGAGAAAACGTTGTCTCTGCCTGTGTAATCTCCCGCGGCGCCGTCTTGCCTTCTACTCCCACCACCACCACTCCCACCACCACCAGGTGCATCTTGAAGCGAGTGATGCTGCTGACGAGCGAGCGTCTGCGGCCCGGCGTGGAGCTCGTCTCGCTGAGCCACGCGGAGCGCGGGGAGCTGCGTGCCGCCATGCGCTTCTACGACGCCGCCGACTTCTCGCGGGCGTACGGAGACCACGACTACCCCCTGCGCCCCTCCAACTTCCAGCGCCTCTACTTCGAGGTGCCCACGCCACCCCGGGCGGGTGGGGGGGGGTGTGGGGAGGGTGGAGGCTCGTGGTTGGTGATTTGCGCCTCCTCCCCACCCCGTCCCGCCACCACGTACCTCCCAAAGTAGTCTGGTTGGCTATGTACGGACGGTGCAAAAGAGGTTCAATATACACAGTGCCCATAGACTCAACACTACCCATAGACTCAACACTGCCCATAGACTCAACACTGCCCATAGACTCAACACTGCCCATAGACTCAACACTGCCCATAGACTCAACACTGCCCATAGACTCAACACTACCCATAGACTCAACACTGCCCATAGACTCAACACTGCCCATAGACTCAACACTGCCCATAGACTCAACACTGCCCATAGACTCAACACTGCCCATAGACTCAACACTGCCCACAGGCTCAACACTGCCCACAGGCTCAACACTGCCCACAGGCTCAACACTGCCCACAGACTCAACACTGCCCACAAGCTCAACACTGCCCACAAGCTCAACACTGCCCACAGGCTCAACACTGCCCACAGACTCAACACTGCCCACAGACTCAACACTGCCCACAGACTCAACACTGCCCACAGACTCAACACTGCCCATAGACTCGCCACCAGTCGCGATGTTTTTCTTCTTTAAACTCTCTTCCCCGTGTGCAAATGCACGCTGGGGGGGGGGGGGGGGGATCTGTGCCCGTGTCTTTTTTAGTCTTCCTTGTTTTTTGCATGCCGTGTTGGTTGTGGCCCCCCCCCCACCCCATTTCAGTGCTCGTTGGAAGGCGCCAACTCCTCCCTGGGCCTGGTGATCGTCACTCAGTACTGCTACGCCACGCCGTCCCGAGACCCCGCCGACCCCGTGCGCTACGCACTCGTCTCTCGCAGGCGAGGAGCGTAGCGGAGTGCAGTACAACGGACACGACCGGCGCTTAGGACTATTGGGGTCTTGGCTCCTGTTTTTCCAAGCCCGTCGCTTGCTTGCGTTTTTGATTTTTTGTTTTGTGGGGGGGGGGGCGGGGGGGGGGGCTGCCGGTTGCCGCTCTCCACACGGTGCCAAAAATGTCAGCGGTGAATTTCGACGGATGATTTGGTGTTTCGATCGCAGGAATTGTTACCGATGGCACGCTCGGCGTGGAAGCTTTTTTTTTTATGAGAGGCTGTCGTTGTTGATGACGATTGCTTGTGTTGCAATCGAAACGTCGTACTGTACTCTATTATTAAATTTATTTTATTTCTACGTGACTTGACCGAAAGAACCAAGGAGTAATTCCTGCACTCGCGAAAGCTTCAAGTCTGAGGCTACACGGGGGACCTTTGTCTGTGTGAGTGTGTCTGTGTGTGTCTGTGTGTGTCTGTGTGTGTCTGTGTGTGTCTGTGTGTACAGGTGCATCGCGGAGAAGTGGGTGATGAACCACACGATGCAGCCGTGGGCCAACCGGTTCAGCTTCCTTGCGTTCGCCTTCCTTGACCACCCCAACGTGAGTGACCCTGTGGGGGAGTTCACACACACGTGGCCCACACACACACACGCGGCCCACACACACACACACACGTGGCCCACACACACACACACGTGGCCCACACACACACACACGTGGCCCACACACACACACACGTGGCCCACACACACACACACACGTGGCCCACACACACACACACACGTGGCCCACACACACACACGTGGCCCACACACACACACGTGGCCCACACACACACACACGTGGCCCACACACACACACACGCGGCCCACACACACACACACGCGTCCCACACACGCGTCCCACACACGCGTCCCACACACACACACACATGGCCCACACACGCGTCCCAGACACACACCTGGCCCACACACACACGTGGCCCACACACACGTGGCCCACACACACGTGGCCCACACACACGTGGCCCACACACACGTGGCCCACGCACACGTGGCCCACGCACACGTGGCCCACGCACACGTGGCCCACGCACACGTGGCCCACGCACACGTGGCCCACGCACACGTGGCCCACGCACACGTGGCCCACGCACACGTGGCCCACGCACACGTGGCCCACGCACACGTGGCCCACGCACACGTGGCCCACGCACACGTGGCCCACGCACACGTGGCCCACGCACACGTGGCCCACGCACACGTGACACACGCACACGTGGCCCACACACACGCACACGTGGCCCACACACACGCACGCGTCACACACACACACGCACACGTCCCACACACACACACACACGTCCCACACACACACACACACGGCCCACACACACACACACACGGCCCACACACACACACACACGGCCCACACACACACACACACACGGCCCACACACACACACACACATGTCCCACACACACACACACACATGTCCCACACACACACACACACGGCCCACACACACACACGGCCCACACACACACACGGCCCACACACACGTCACACACATGGCCCACACACACGTCACACACACGTCCCACACACACACACACACGTCACACACACACACACACGTCACACACACACACACACACGTCACACACACACACACACACGTCACACACACACACACACACGTCACACACACACACACACACGTCACACACACACACACACACACGTCACACACACACACACACACGTCACACACACACACACACGTCCCACACACACACACACACGTCACACACACACACACAACGTCACACACACACACGACACACACACACACGTCACACACACGACACGTCACACACACACACACACACGTCCCACACACACACACACACGTCCCACACACACACACACACACGTCCCACACACACACACACACGTCCCACACACACACACACACACGTCCCACACACACACACACACACGTCCCACACACACACACACACACGTCACACACACACACGTCACACACACACACACACACGTCACACACACACACGTCACACACACACACACACACGTCACACACACACACACACACGTCACACACACACACACACACGTCACACACACACACACACGTCACACACACACACACACACGTCACACACACACACACACACGTCACACACACACACACACGTCACACACACACACACACACGTCACACACACACACACACGTCACACACACACACACACACGCGGCCCACACACACACACACGTCACACACACACACACACACGCGGCCCACACACACACACGTCTCTCCGCTTCTGTGCAATTTTCAGCATCGCTCCTCGTCGATGGCCACGATTCCAAACGCACGGGGAGGGGGGAGGAGGGTGGGGGCTGCTCAACGCACACCGGCTGACGGGGGTGGCAGGCAACCCCTGGACTTGACTAGCTGCATCATCGTTGTTGTTGTTGTTTTCGTTGTTATTGTTGTTGTTTGTTCCCCCGCGCCAGCAGGAGGTTTACCTGCACTGCGGCGTGCTGGCGTGCCGCCGGGACTCTCTGGAGCCGGACTGCCTCGTGCGCTGCCCTCCGCCCGCGCCGGGGGCAGCTGGCGGCAGGGGGGAGCGGGGCTCGGAGGGCAGCGGCTTCGTGGTGCTCACGGGGGGACCCATCGTCCTGCCGGGCGGCGGCGGCGGCGGTCGCGGCGTTTCGTGTACGTGAGCAAAGACAAAGGTTCCCCGTGTGTAGCCTGTAACAGACCGCAGGGGCAAGTGCTGTTGGCGAGTAGCGGCGGCGCTTACGAAGGCCGGCGCGGCGCACGAGAGGGGGGCGGGTGGTCGTTGCCAAGCCCCCCCCCCCTCCCGGCCGCCTTTGTCTCCCAGGTGGTGGCGTTTACACTTTGAGGCCGAGTCGACCTAGGGGAAGCCCCAGGACCGGTTGAGATATCCGTCACCGGTGGTGGCCGTGAGCGGGAATCGAACTCGGGGTCGTCGAGTTCGCTGCGCGGCGTCGCGCTGACCGCTGTCCCACCGCTCCTCGCACGGACGCGTGGAACGTGGGCCAGCGTGGAAGAGTAGGCCAAAGTACCTCGTGGGTTGAGGGGCCCCCATCCACCAGCAGTGACGCGAGCAAGCGATTTGCAGGGCAAGCACGTTTCCCTCGTTGTCGTCGTTATTTACAAAAACAAACGGCGACAACATTTCGATTTAAAGCTTTCGTGACTGCAGGGATTCATCTTCTTGGTTCTTTCTTTTGTCAAGGCGCTCTTCTTCCCCCCTCCATCCCAGCTTAAATAGACGCTCCAAGCCTGGGGTGTGTCATTCAGACTCTGTCTTCTCGACAGACCTGTTCTTCACCTGAGGACGGCTGCTTGCGTTGTGGCCGAAACGTCGTGAGAATTATTTTATTATGTTTTATTTTAATTTTATTATTTCCATTCTAGGCGACACATTTGTCCAAAAACACTGCGCGACCCTTGAACAATAAATAAACATTAAACGGGTGACATGTCAGACCAGGGTCCTTCATCAGAGCACCTGAAAAGGAGCATTACCCGTAACGTCGCCCATTCTATTTGTCTTTTGTTGTCAACGTTGATCGTGCTTGGGTTGACTACGGTTGGACACAAGTTGTACATCAACACTGCACCACAGATTCTAAATTTGAAGCTTTCGTGACTGCAAAGATTCATACTCTTAGTTTTTTCGGTAGAAGGTCACGTAGGTAAAAAAATTGAAATTAGTAAAAATAAAAAAATAAAAAATCACGACGTTTCGGGAGGCAACACAAGTCTCCGTCATCAGGTGGGACCGTCACAGCCAGATTTGCTGCATCAAGTGAGGCAGGGATTCAAGATGCAAGCTCTTAAATACAAGTTAAGGGGGAGGAGAGGGGGGAGCCTATCAGAATGTGGTAGCCAATGAATGGAACGTATTGGGAGGGGGGAGGGGGGGGCGGAGCTAAAAGAAAACACGAGGTGGACGTGGACCTGTTGGTGCACATGATAGAAGAGTATCTTGCCCCAGAGGCCCAAAGCTGATCACTGGCTTCGACACTGCACCTCCGATTAGCACGGCTGGCCACGGTACGGTGCGGAAAAAGTTCAGCGCATCAACCAACAATCCGTGTCGTCCCCCGCCCCGCCCCCCTCCCTCCTCCTCCAGCCACGACAAGTCGCCATCACAACGCCACCTCCATGGCGCTGGCCACGTCGGCGCTGGCGACCGCCCTGCTGCTGCTGCTCCTGGTGGTGGCACGGAACGTCAGGAAGTCCCGTGACGGCGCCACCCGCCAACCCCCAGCTGCTGCCCGGGTGCGGAGTCCAACTGCAGGCGCGCGGGTGTGATGGACGTGGTGGTGGGTGGTGGGTGTTGGTGGTGGGGTGGGTGGTTTGCCGTGGGTGGTTGGCCGTGGTGGGCGGTGGTTGTGGTGGGTGGTGGTTGTTGTGGGTGGTGGTTGGCCCCTTGGCAGCAAGAACCACGCCTGGGTTCGATTCGCCGTTCTTTGGCGGTGGGTGGGGGAGCTGCCGATTTTCGTGCGTGTGGAGTCTGTGGGAATTCTCTTGGCCCGTGTTCAGCGTGGGGTTTCTTCCCTTGGGGGTGGTTCCTCCGGATTCCTCCCGTAACTGCCCCCCCCCCCCCCCATGTGTACGATCTAAGTGGTATCGGCCAATAACCCCCCCCCCCGCCTGCCTCCCCCAAAATGTTGCAGAAAAAAATCGCACTGCAAATTAATTGATTTTGGGGATGGCAGCCGCCGCAGCAGCATCGCTCGCTCCTCGTGGAAACTTGGCTGGACACTCCCGGGGAATGTCTCGCGGTGAAGTGAACTTGACGACGACAATAACGAGAGGGACAGAGGTGGTGGTGTTGCTGTGGATGCCCCTGATGGGCCACTCCACCTGTGTTGTCGTTTAATTCCGGGTTAATTTTTTCATGTGACTGGACATCTGTGAATGAAGGGCTTCATAGCTCATCAGATTTCTGCAGTCTAAACGCAAATTTAGATATGTTGATTTCTGTCTTTTTTTGTTTGTGCTGGAATTAAGATAAAATAAATAGTTTGAGTTGGAATTGGCGATTTTTGGTGTGTTGCTTGTGTGAAATTGTGACGGTGCGGGGTTTCCCCCAAGCATCGCATGACGAAGTCTACGCTTGTTCACCCGCTAAAGCCTTGCGGAGTCTCAAGACTAGTTGTGTTGCGGGTCCTCTTGGCAAGCGTGTGAGCGCGTGTGATAATTGAAAGGTCACTGTCGTTGTTAAACACCTGGGATTAGGTTGGCCAATACTCGGCGGTTGCTGCTATTTTTTTTGTTTAAACTCTTGGGAGAATTGGAGAACCTGGAGGAAAAACTCTGTAGCAGAACAGGAGGGGGGGGGGGGGGGGTCTGGGGGGGATGGACAGGAATGCAGAGATGCTCCACAGAGACGGGAACCAGAGTTGGGCGGGGGGGGGGGGAATCTAACCCAGGCCTCTTTGTCGTTGGTGATGCACGAACAGAGGTCGCAAACGGGTTTTGATTCCTTACCCGTACCCGTATCCGGCCGCACCAGGGTCGCAAATGGGTACTCTTACTCGTACCCGGCCAGGTACGGGTTCCCATTCCCTACCCGTACCCTACCCGAAATGAGTGAAACGGTTACTCACCAGTGACTCTCGGCCTACCCGTACCCGGCCGCACCAGGGTCGCAAACGGGTACCCGATACCCGGCTACCCGTACCCGGCCGGGTATAGGGTACGGGTATCGGGTACCTGGTTGTGACCTCTGGATACGAAGTGTCACCCCCCCCCCCCCCCCCCCCAGTGTAATCGGAGTTTACACTGGTGTTGACCAGTGTAAACTCCGATTACACTGGTCAACACACTCTTTCTGGCATAAGGTATTCCAACGGTTTTAAGGTAATTTTGGGGTGCCGATTCCAAATCTGGCATCAGTTTTTGTCTCGCATCAGGTTTTTGAGATATCAAATAATGCATTTTCAATCAAAACTGCAGAAGAAAAATAAATAAATGTGGATATCTACATAAAACGATATTATAAACGCACTATCCCATAAATACAGCACCATATTTTAACACTAAAGCAGTCACCGACTCGCAACAACTTGCAATCGTAAGTGCCGGACGGATGGACACACTAATCCCCTGTGGGCTGGTGTAACCAGGAGGTTCCTACCAGTGAAATCTCCATCTCGATTGAAGCGCGTATCTTCTCCCGGGCACCTCCAATTAGCACGGTGGTGGTTGGCTTCCGTGCGGTGCAAAAAGTTCAACTTGCGTACAGATGAAATGGGTAACACTTTGAATCGGTAAAGTGGTTTTCCCACGGATGATCTTTTCCCTGCCATAACAATGTGGCATTTCCACCAACAACACTGGCTTTGGCGCTGTGGACAGAGGAGCCCCCCCCCCCCCCCCCCATGCTGCTCATGGGGAGAAACTCGCTTAATCTTCTGACGACTCGGGAGGGCTGTGTGATCCAGCAGTGGATGTTGATGGTGGGGTGAGGAAGATTGACGGCGTGGGAGAGGCTCGTGTTAACTGATCACTTTATTAATAAAGCAAGCTCGTTGTACAGGAGGCAAGTTGCAAGCGTACACGGTCTAACAGTGTTAGAAAACGATAACAAAACTAGCTCTACATCTCAAACATCGTGGTAACAAAACAACACACCCACCAAGGCAACTGGCATTAATTTTTTGCATTTTCTTTTCCTCTTAAAAATAAAACTGCAAATATTTGAAAAGTACATCGTAAAAAAAAAATGCTTATTTTTTAACGTTTTTTTATATGCTTTGTATTATATATACACTTAAAAAAAACATTTTATGCTTGGAGCTGATTTTGTTTTTAATTCGGCACGGAACACGGTTTAATTGACCGTCTGTCTACCTTGTAACAATTATTACGAGCCCAAGGCAAATTCTTCAATTTCAAAAACGTCGGTGTCGATGTCCACCCACCCCACACCTCCGATTATAGCGTTGGCAGCTACAAACCTCTCGTGCCCATTAGATTAACACTGCACATGACGTCAACACGACCCATACTCAACACTGCCCACACTGAACGCTGCCGCCCATAGTTTCAACACTACCCATTTTTTTATTTGGTTCTTTCGGTAAAGTCACGCAGATAAAAAAAAATAATGAAAAAATATAAACCGACGTTTCTATCGCAACACCAAGCCGTTTTCCTGATGACGACAGCTTGTGTTGCGATCGAAACGTCGTGGTTTTCATTTATATTATTCACATTATTTTTTCTACGTGACTTTACCGAAATAACCAAAGGAATATGAATTCCTGCAGTCACTAAAGTTGAGTCAAAACTACCCATAGACTCGCTGCCCATAGACTCACTGCCCCATAGACTCGCTGCCCCATAGACTCACTGCCCCACTCAACATTACCCATAGACTCACTGCCCCATAGACTCGCTGCCCCATAGACTCGCTACCCATAGACTCGCTGCCCCATAGACTCGCTGCCCCATAGACTCGCTGCCCCATAGACTCGCTACCCATAGACTCGCTGCCCCATAGACTCGCTGCCCCATAGACTCGCTGCCCCATAGACTCGCTGCCCCATAGACTCGCTGCCCCATAGACTCGCTACCCATAGACTCACTGCCCCATAGACTCGCTGCCCCATAGACTCGCTGCCCCATAGACTCACTGCCCCACTCAACATTACCCATAGACTCACTACCCCATAGACTCGCTGCCCCATAGACTCGCTGCCCCACTCAACATTACCCATAGACTCACTACCCCATAGACTCGCTACCCATAGACTCGCTACCCATAGACTCGCTACCCATAGACTCACTACCCCATAGACTCGCTACCCATAGACTCACTGCCCCACTCAACATTACCCATAGACTCACTACCCCATAGACTCGCTACCCCATAGACTCACTGCCCCACTCAACATTACCCATAGACTCACTGCCCCATAGACTCGCTACCCATAGACTTACTGCCCCATAGACTCACGCCCCATAGACTCACTGCCCCACTCAACATTACCCATAGACTCACTACCCCATAGACTCACTAGCCATAAACTCACTGCCCCATAGACTCGCTACCCATAGACTCACTGCCCCACTCAACATTACCCATAGACTCACTACCCCATAGACTCACTAGCCATAAACTCACTGCCCCATAGACTCGCTACCCATAGACTCACTGCCCCAGACTCACTGCTCATACACTCACTGCACCGTAGACTTGCTAACCATAGACTCACTGCCCCACTCAACATTACCCATAGACTCACTACCCATAAACTCACTGCCCCATAGACTCGCTACCCATAGACTCACTGCCCCACTCAACATTACCCATAAATTCACTGCCCCAGACTCTCACTGCAACTCCGATTTCACACGGTTGGCTACCGACGGTGGGTGCTAAAGTAGCTCGACACACACACACGCACATAAAACTGGTCCTCCCCAACCAGCATAGGAATGTGGAATTTCCATCACTTTAAATCGCAACTGCCAATGGAAATTAGTCGCAAAGCCCTTTGCTCGCCATTAACCCCCAGGGGACCTTTAAAGTCCCAAGCTTCACGCGATTGGTCCAAACTTATCACATGGCCAAAGCTGCTTTGGTTCGGCCTACCTTGATGTAATTTAATTTGTGTGTAGCAGCCCAGATTAACAATTCAGTCTGCAATCCTCATTGCCTCCACGGTATTGAAATGTTCAATGCAGGCTACCGGCGTTGCTGGTAAAATCAAAATTATTTACTCAAAGCCTTTCTGTTCTGCAGGGAGGGTGTGTGGTGTGTTCTACGTTGATGTGTTCCCGTGAATTCCATGATTATTGAGGTTCAGGCACAACTCGGTGGTTTGGTTGCAAGTAGAGAGGCCTATTGCTGGCAGTGGCTGTTAACCGAGCCATTTAAAAACGATCACCTCCATGGTATTAGAAGCAAATTAACAATCCCCAACGGCGGTTACAGCGGTTGGCACACGGTCGATGAACATCATCGTAAGGCATAATTCGGACGTCTTGCACCAATGGCACAAATCACAATAACAATCGTGTACACATTCAGTTTAGTTTTGCAATGTAGCGGATGGTTTCTTGATGTTGTTCCGCGTATGTATTTTCTAAAAAACCGTATTGACACCAACGCCACACTGTTACTCAAGACACGAGCGAACGCCTTTTGTTTTGAGCGAACCGTCACGATAACCACGTCCATGAGCTGGAGCAGTAAGAAAAACACCCGGCGTATAGCGACCTAAGAGGGCAGAGCGTGCCTTAGGTCGTACCCAAACGTGTATCGCAATAATGCACTGATATTGGTCACGAAATCAATTGTAGCCAGGAGGAAGAGCTACACCACCACCACCACCATAAACCTGTCAACCCCTTATCAGTGCCCGACCTTATCACACACACATTTGGTCAACCCGTGCTCCTTATAACTCTTAGCGTTTATACCACAAATTCCCATCACGAGGGAGAAACACAAAGACGCGTTGTTTTGTCCGTATTGAACACATTTTTCTCCTGGCGATGGCCACGTTAACCATTGCAAACGTTGACACGCGGCAAAGACGTGGCACCACAC